TTATAAACTTTGAAGCTAATTATGTCCATCTACCCTGCAGGGTCTCTGTAAACTGGGTTCAGCTGGTGGTGATGATTACGGCTTAAGGCAGTTTGCTGAGGGTTCCACTGAGAAACTGGCCAAGCAGTGCAGAAAGTCAGTACTCAACCCTTGGATTTAATATAATATTAAGCATAAAATACATATATAAACAGTTGAAATGCAACTACTGCAAGTATTACTGTCTCATGTCTCATTATTTGTTTTGCCAGGTGGCTTTGTAATCCCCAGATTGATTCCAAAACAAGGAAGTGGGCTATTGAGGGTCTTGCCTATCTGACTAATGATGCTGATGTTAAAGATGACTTTGTGGAAGATGAGCTTGCAATGAAAGCCATGTTTGAGCTGGCAAAGGTAAAGACATTAGATCATATTGTTGTACATTGTGCATCCAATGAGTCATTATGTTTCAATTGGGTGGAGGCATAAACTTCCTATATGTATTGGCAATAAATGAGCTTGTGATTTTAAGTACATGTTTTAGACATGATAGTTGAAAATGCATTTTTTTCTACCAAAAGAAAGCATTACAAAATGCATGTGATGTAAATCCTTCCTGTTTATAATGTATGTGCACTCTCTATGCTTAAACTGTGTAATAATTACATTAATTATCTCAGAATATTCCACAGTTTATGAAGTAAATAGTTTGAAACTTTAATTTGAGACAGCTAGCATAGCTGCTAGCAAAATATACTGACAGCATAATTAATTTCCACTGCTTTTCCTCTCTGCTTTTTAGTCTAGGGATAAGACAATCTTATATGCAGTTGCTTGCATTTTGATAAACTGCACCAACAGCTATGATAAGAAAGAAATCCTCCCTGAGCTGGTTCAGTTGGCCAAGTTCTCTAAGCAGCATGTCCCTGAGCAACACCCCAAGGTAAGACCATGAGAGAAAACTCAGACCTCCGTTCATGAGTCACTTTGCAGGAAACACCGTATGCATGCTGACATGTGAGCACAAACCTTGCAAACAGTTTTTCTCCTGTTTCCTCAGGACAAGAAAGACTTTATTGAGAAGAGAGTAAAAAGGCTGCTGAAGGCTGGAGTCATTTCAGCTCTTGCTGTCATGGTCAAAGCAGACAGCGCTGTCTTGACTGATCAGACGAAAGAGATGTTGGCACGGTAGGAAATACATGTGGAATTCCTTTTAAAAGTTTCCTGACGTCTTCACATAGCACAAATAATAATACCCCCCCACCCCACCTCCACCCAGATAAACCTGTCTTTCCTGTGTTCTCATCAGCCTACTTCTCTTTGCTGTTTTGTAATTTGTATTCATTTTTGACTAATTATTTTGAGTTACAGTGCTTACAGTGGTCCAGTACCTTGCTAAAGTATAAATGCTACTTGAAACTTTCCATAGATTGTTATGTTCAAACTTCAATGTATGCTGTTCTGATTTTATGTGATAGAGCTGGACACATACGGTGTTCACATCACTCAGGCTTTTATTTGCAAACATGTTTTAAACCATGTATCATCTTCCTTCCACTTCATAGTAGTACTGTGTGTTGCTTCCTCTAACATATACGTTATGAAGTGAAGCTGGTGGCTGAAAAATGTGCAAAAGTTTAAGTGATGTGATAAAGGCAATGCACCTCCTTGGAGTCTGAAATTATTTTCTAAACAAATCTGCAGGGTTTTCTTAGCACTGACAGAAGATCCAAAAGATCGTGGCATGATAGTGGCCCAGGGAGGGGGAAAGGTGAGTCATGCACTACATTACATGTACACATCAAATGTAATGGAAAATTTTTATGTTTCAAAACTGAAACTGTCTTGGACAAACCTGTTTTTGTTTTGTTATTGGTTGCAAACCTTCTGTGTCTCCCTCCTTCTTGTCATTGTTCTTGAATTTATCATTATTTCAATCTCTTGTGCCCTCAGGCTCTGATACCTCTTGCCCTTGAAGGTACAGAAAAGGGAAAGGTGAAAGCGAGCTTTGCACTCGCCAAAATAGCCGCCGTTTCCAACCCGGAGATTGCTTTCCCTGGAGAAAGGGTAAAACTCTAAACTTTAGCTGTTTTCTTCATTCAGTGTCCCTCAGATTCATCCCTACGTCTTAACTTCCTATCTTCTCACGTTTTAATTTGATCTTTATTTTTTCCAGTTCTTTTGACAAGAGATGTTAGATTATTTACTTAGCATTCTATTTGACTATTTTCTTCGTCTTCGTCCTGTTAAGTTTCACCTGCACAGTAGAAACAGTTCTCTGGTGTTAAAACCTCAGTTCTTCTGGGACTGTTGTTTTTAACAGGTATATGAAGTGATACGACCTCTTGTCAGCCTGCTGCAGACAGACAAAGAGGGGGCAGAGAACTATGAGGCTCTCAGAGGACTCACCAACATGGCTGGTTTCAGTGAAAAACTAAGGTAGCATTTTGTCTCATGATGCTGCGGTTGCTTTACAGAAAAAAGTTATTTTTTTTTTCAATCACTTCCCTAAAGTGCCTCAGCTGCTTGCTTAAATGTTTCCTCTTGCTTCTCTTGCAGGGTAAAACTGGTGAAGGAGAAAGCTTTGCCAGAGATCGAGAACCACATGTTTGAAGAGAATGAAAAGATCAGGCTGGCTGCCACTGAATGCATGTGCAATCTGGTAACATGCAAAGAGGTGAGAACAAACGGGACAACACTGAGATTGTTTACGCACAGATGATGCATGGCAAATGCGGATGAGCAAAAGTCGACAAGAAAATCCATCCTATGTGTTGCCAGGTCCAAGCTCGTTACCTTGAGGACGGCAACGATAAGTTGAAGCTGCTGGTGTTGCTCTGTGGAGAGGATGATGAAAAACTTCAGATAGCTGCAGCTGGAGGTCTGGCCATGATCACTGCTGCTGAGAAAAAGCTTTGCACCAAAATGACTCGTGTGGTATGAACTACTAGAATCTGCTTTCACTCTTATTTATTTGTGAAAATGGTCAGATGATGAACTGAGTGTTCATTTCCTCCCAATCAGACAGTACAGTGGCTGGAGATCCTGCAGAGGTTATGTCTCCATACCAACCCTAGCGTCCAGCACCGAGGCCTGGTGATTGTGTACAACATGCTAAACTCTGACGACTTCGAGTTGGCTAAGAAACTGATCGAGAGTGAGATGCTGGAAATCCTCACTGTGATTGGCAAAGCAGAGGACAATCCCAAGAGGCAGGATCCTATTGACGTGGCACGCACATGTCTGGTCAAAGCCATGGATCTCGGTCTCATCAAGCCCTTCACAAGTCCTTCATAAGCAAGAAAAAATAATAAAAATGGCTCAAACAACAGCAACATTTTTTTTATTTCTTAACTTATTTACTTCCTCAGAAAGAGACTTTTTGTTCAGATAGTTTAAGTACGCATCAGTCTGCAGCTCAATATCTAAATATGTTCCTCGAAAATAAAAGGCCACTGTTTTGTTTTCTATAATAATTATTTAGTTAGCTTACAGTGAGAAACTGTTTTCCAGTGTGCAGCTTCTTTTCTTACATGTGTCTGTACTTGTGTTGATGAAATTACTTGTTAGTGCTGATTTGTAACTTGGCTTTATCTTTTTTAAACTGACTTGTTTGCATAATTTCGGTTTCATGTTAATTAAACATATGTCAAATAAACGTCATTTACAGTGCTATGACTTTTGCACTTTATTTTTTCCAGTCTGTCACACAAATGTTTAAGATCATAAAAAACAATTTAGTATCAGACAAATACTACAATGTATTTGGGGGCGGTTCCCTTTATTCTACCTGTCAATCTGGAGATATTAGCATTAGCACAATAGTAGTCTTAGAATTGCACATCATGTTCATAACAAAACCATGTATTTACTACCACCAAATGTTATATTGGCGTAATAATGATTTAAGTGACAATATCCAAAAACCTATCATTAATAGAGAAAGAAAACATAAACATCTGAACAATGTAAATACAAGGATAGCCTGTTTTGTACTGGAAGATTGAGATGTGACAAAGAGAAAAAGAATGTCAGCTGGTCTGTTTTGTCAGGTCGTCCGGGTGTTTGTTGAGGCCTCCACCTGTGCCATATACACTTAACTGGAGAAAATCAAAGAACATGATCCTCACATGATAGTCCAGTTAGACACCAGTGTGTTTACTAAAGTGGGAGTCTACTGCTTATCTCCAACGCCATGGTGAAACTGTAGGGGTTGTATGTCTGCTTACTCAGGGGCCAACAAGGAAACAAGGATTCCAATGCCAAGGCAGGGCGTTTTTGTAGAAAATGTCCTCTTCTTGGGTTTTTAAATAACCCTTTTGTGCCATTGATTCGCTCATGAGAAGAAACTGGAGATGCACATTTTATTGCTGGAAAAACAGGAACTATGTTGAGTTTTTCTCGCCAAGTCTGATTATTAGAACTACTTTGGGCTTGTTCTTTTCTTCTAAAGTTGCTTGCAGATTTAATGCCACAAGCCAAGCCACAAATACTACTTCCGGTATTTGTGGCTTGGAAATAAGCCACAAATAAGCCGTAGTTTGAGTCCATCATGTTTACAGGTTTCCCCGGACAATACAGAAAAACACAAAACCACACACGAATTACAAATCTCATTTTTTTGTACTGTTGTAACTATCAAACACTCTCCCCTTCAGCTCAACATTATAAGTGGATATTACATTGTTGGTGATGCCATTCTAAAAATAACTTGCAATTAAGTTTCGGCAAAAGGTCAATGGGATTTTCACAGGAGGCGGAGCGCTGTTGTTAGTGAAAGTCACTAAAAATTTTTTTACTTTTAATGTAGCCTACTTTAGCTACTTTCCAAATCAAGTAAAAAAATTTAAGGAATGAAGAAAGGAACTGTAACCTGAGTCTGGACCTGTCACCGGCTTTTTGCATCTGCTTCGGAGGAAAGGGAACAGGGGGGCGGGTCGGCAGAAAGGAAGCTGTTCGGCAGGGCAGCTCCTCATCATTGTAGGATGAGATGAGCGACTGCACGGACGAGTCTGAGTCACTGTCTTTGTCACAGATCGTACTTATCTCAACATTTATCCACAGAAGGTGAAAATCAGTCGAACATCGAACTTACAGCTGCCTTCGCAGCCTACAGCTACCACGTGATTCGCCGGTGGATGCGCTGCTCTCCGCTCGGGAGATGAAACAGGTAGGCTCTTGACTACACATTAAAGGAATTGTTGCGTTATGAAAAGCTACCAACATATGCCTTTGGGAGGATGAAATAGTGAAGGATGTTATGCATGTGTCAGGAACAGAAAAGCTCTGATACCAGCTCCATCTAGATTACAACCTTCGTCTGGGGGTCAGGAAAATATCAGGAGAGTGTATTATACACTTGTTTCTTCCCCTCCCCCCATTAGTTTTTGCTGCTGAAGTCGCAGCTCTGTTAGGCATCATGCCCATCTCAGCCACATCCAGGCTGACACCTTCATGCACTTAGTGATGATCAGAGAAATAGCAACTAATTAATTCTCTGGCTTGAGAATTACATATGCAAATATATGTAGCACTGCTTCAACATATATTTACTGAGGTAACAGTAGAAATTTCCAATCCAGAAAATGACTCAAGCAAAAGTGAGAAAGTGTTTTGTAAATAGGTTACTCAAGTAATGATACATTTTTATTTGATATCTAAAAAAACATGTCAGACAGACAAAAATATACATACGAATTCTGGCATTTTAAAGAACAACGTAAAAAATATGTCATCATTATGGCGATAAAAGTAAGGTTTGCATTTAATTGGGAAATCAAGGTTCTAACATCTGGAGAATTTCTAGAAGCTGCTATTGGTACAAGAGTTGATCCATTTCATTGATTCCAAGGCTATAATTGTTTGTATATACAATATACAAACAACCATTTTGTATAACTTTTGTATAACCACTTTGTATAACCAGACCAAACCTACTTCAGATATTAGCAAACTAAAAGAATCACTTGAATCCCTACTGGACTGATTTGTTACCAATATGTTGTGAATTATGTTGAAGTATTATAATAAACTGCGGTTTATTAAAAGATTTTTTAAAAAGGTGTAACATATGAATGATAGAAGTTCATATAATCTGAACTTCTAACATTCAGATAGTGAGAAGCTATAATTTATGATATTGCTACAAATATCTTAAAACGGAAATCTTCCTTTAGGTGCAGTGGAGCAAAAATATTTCAGCCAAAATGGGTTTTTGCACCCAGTTGTCTGCAGCAACCTTTGCCGTGGGAAGTAAGTGTCTGAGAATTGGCCAACTTTAAACTTCACTCATTGACCAACAGCCAACAACCTTTGTTTTGCGTCATGTTTTTGTTTCCATAGTAAAAAGCATATTTTTGCTGGTTGCTTTTGGAGATGCAACGAGTCTTCCAGTCACCACAGGTCAGAAATGTCTCTATAACTCAGATTTATCTCATGATAATGCATCAAAATCTTCATGTGAAATGTTTTCTGCATGATTTTACAGGTGTCAAGGATTCACTGGAGCTCTTTTACTGCACTTCTGCAGGGTGTGCTGCCAATGTGACAAAAGTGTTTTGCAATGACGACCTCCTTCAGCATGACCACTTTCCAGATTGCTCACGATCTCCGCCTCCTTATAAAGTGTGCCAGCATGATGGCCGTGCATATGTTTCCACCCCGGTAGGGACCAAGTGTGAATTTGAGGAGGAGAGTGCATACATTCCAACAAAGAAATGTACAGGTAATGTCACATGTAAAGTGGATTAAAGAATTCCACAGATTATCCAAAAGAAAATGTGCATTTGTGTTCAGCCCTTCTGAGTCAATACTTTGGGGAATTAGTTTTATAGTAACCACTGATGCAGGTCTGTTTGTATGTCCTTAACAGATTTACACATATTCATGGTGAATTTGTTGTCAGAGCTTTATAAAAAAATAACTTGACATTGTAATATATAGTATCTGGTTTTGTAACTCATATAACACTTTCCTGTATCTTTCTTTCTATAAGACGTTGACCCCATTTGCCTTTGGATTCATGGTAAGTATTGACTGTGAAAACACTGTTTACTATTTTATTTGAACATTGAATGGAGTTTTTAATCCAACATTTCAGCTACATCCTCATCACCAACCACTACAAACACTGGGAAGAAAGCAGCGGGAGTTGATCCAGGATACATCATCCTAGGATGCATCCGTGAGTTAAAATCATCATCTAGCACTGAAAGGTTATCCTCCCAATATCGTTCTTCATATGAAGTGCTTACATTCCCAATGTAAGCATTTAGAAAATGCTTACACTTGAAAAATAGAATAGAATAATCAAAAGATGGCAGTGTCGCTTTGCAAGTGACATAAACATGCTGGTTCTTTGAACCGACACTCTGTTCTTACAAATATTCATCTAAGTGACATTGAGAATGTTGTACCCTCTCACATATGTTGTTGATGTTTCAGAATGAACACAAAGTGACACAAGAAGCAGTAAAACTCCCAAAGGATCCATTAACCCCTTCATTCGGTGTTATTCTAATCTTGCATGTTCTTTCTGTAGATGTGTGACTCTTCTGTGGGTACTCAGGTTTTCTCCCACAGTCCTGTAAAATTCCTTGTTATAGTGAACTGGTTTGTCAGATTTTTCCTTCAAATTTATTAAGTGTGTGTTTGTTGGTTTGTAATAACTTGTGGGGACCATTTTCCTGACACATACCATGTTGTGGGAACCCTTGTGGGGGCCGAGGCCTGGGCCCCACAAGGGAAAATGCTATTTTTGGGTCAGGGGTTAGATTTAGGACTACGGTGTGAATTGAGTTTTGGTTATGCATGTGATGAGTAGGGTTAGGATAAGGTTTAAGCTATAGAAATGAATGGAAGTCAATGGAACGTCCCCACAAAGATAACCATGCAAACATTTGTGTGTTTGTGTGTGCATGGTAGTTTGTTTTGTGGCAAAGTGGGGACCTGTGCAATGTATGCTTGCAGCCCGTCTCTTGCCAAATGACATAGATGAAAGTTAAATCTGAGAAGTTTGGCTTTTTGTTACTGACTCGTCTTGCTTGCTGTGATCTGTTCACTTGCTTCACTTGGGGCCAAAATATCATTGTAAAGGCTGGTGTTAAGGTAAGATCAGAATTTTTATATCTTCTCATCTTAGAGAAGATATTGAAATTCTTCTAATGTTAATTGTTACATGTGTCCTAAATATTAGATTTTTCATTTCACAGTTGGTTTTGCTGCACTTCTGGCTGGTGGTGTAATATGTTACTGTCTTAAAAGACGCAGCCGAAGGCTAAACCAGCAGCAAAACAGGTACCGAACTATAAGATCATTATAAAATGATAACCAGATGTGACATATTGATGCTAATTCAAATTCATTTCAGAGACCCTGAAGAGAGTCAACAATTAGCAGTGATCCAACCTTCTGGATGCACAACTGTGAGGTTTGTGAAAAAAAGTTAAATGTCTCAACAATTCATTACATTGATGTGAATTTTATTTTTTAAAGTTAACATTTACATTTTTCAGGGATGCAGAAGTTGCTTTTCAAGTGGATGATGACACTATACCTCATCGTGGATGTGGGGATTAGCTAAATTGTCTTTGTTACGGCACAGAGCAGCACTTGCATCCTCTTTTAATATGAAAGGTGTTTTATAGATAAAATTGATTTGATATTATGCCATCTCACCGCCATCTTGACCAATAAGGCTGATTCCGATTCTTTGAACGTTTCCATGATGTCACACAAGCAAGGTGTTACTTTTAAATTCATCTCAATGTGCCTCTTCTGTTGTCTCAGGTATTATGAAATAACCTGTTGGATGCTTATGAAGCCATGGAATCATCAACTTGCTTTGTTTAAAGATATAATTGTCATAGAAAAGGGATGTTTTTAAATTTAAACATAAATAAAATTATGTATTTCATTATTCTGGGGTTTTGGAAATATAAATACAGTAATCTTTGCAATCCTAACTGACCTAAAACAGGAACATTTTGCTGTGACAATGAGATCAAAATAATGGTTATATGTTACTATACAATATATGTGAGCTGCAAGTACTGGGCAACATAAATCTATACTTACTGTTAAGCTGTCAAAACAAATCCCAAAAAGATTATTTTTAATTTTTAAATGTGAAGTCCAAGACGTCATACCTAAATAAGGCTCATAAAATTCTGTTACGATTAAATTTTGTAATTTGGGATCAGGCCAGAAGGTGGTGCTATTGAGTCGTTTTTAAATTATTTTGTGGCGCACTGAGGAAAATAAAGCTGTAAAAAAAAGAAAAAAAAAAGAAAAGAGAGGCAGGATCAGACAGTAGAGTCACACAGGCTGTCTAACTCTACAGCAGCGCAGTACAGCGGCTCTGCTGTGGAGGGAAGTACAGCAAACAGTTCATCACATTGAACCGCATTCATTCATCTGCTGGAGATCCTCTGCTTGAAGAAGAAGAAGAAAGCTCTGCGAGGACCGCCTCAGCCTCCCTGGGAAATATTTCTGCAGGATTAACAAGAAGAAGACGATTTCTGCTCGTTTTCATCAGGGAGACCCGCTGGAGGTACGACGTCTGTACTTGTTCACCCGCAAAGTTTAGTGCAACTTAGTAGAAACGGCAGCGGCGACCGGGGAGACAGGAGGGACCGTGACGTGTCGGGTCTCAGGTGCCGTGGCGACAGGTGAAAAACTGCAGGTGTGATTAGACGGGAGACACGAGATTCTGCCCCCGATACAAAGTGTCCTCAACCGAGCGTGGACGCAGGTCCTCGATGAGAGAAGACGGGTTGTCTTCGGGTTTTGGATTGGAGGCAGTGATTTCACTAGAATCTGTCGCTTGTCGCTTATAATCCATATTGGTGAAATGCGTTTTTTTTGTTGTTGTCAGCTTCTCAGACTCGCTTAGAAACAGTCGGATGGACAATGACGCAAAGCCTTAAATTGTGCAACTTGTGTTTTGTAATGAATTCTGCAGAAATGTGGAACATTTATAGGTTCATGCCAATGAGTTTCAGTTGATCAATTTCTCGGGAACTGAATGCAGCCTTCTTTTAAATCCCTTCGTCACAGAGTGTGTGTGTGTGTGTGGGTGTGTGTGTGTGTGTGTGCGTGTGTGTGTGTGTGTGTGTGTGGGTGTGTGTGTGTGTGTTTTCTTTATGCATCTCTTCCCATCATCACAGCTCTGTACGTTAACGTGATACATTTCTGTGCTGGTGACTGGATCCTGGGCTCTTCACATTTCCCTCTTCAGACCCTCTGAGAGTCACCAGGCTGTGACAGATATAAAGCAGCCCTGCCTGACCAAAGATGCAGCAGTTTGTGTTCTGAAGACAGATTGATTCCTTCCAGTGGCTTGGTTTTGTTTTTGTTTCATGTTAACTCAATTCTTGGTTGTAGTTTGCAGAATTGCTTGCTGTATCTCACCTTTTAATTGAAGAAGAAGGAAATATAGCAATCATAAAGATTTTTCCACAATTATAAAATGTTACTGGCTTCTGCTGCATTCATCTATAAAGACACCTTTGTTAACAGTATAATGTGGAGTTATCTGTGACTTTTCTTGAGTTTATCTAATGCTTATGCATATCTGGATATTATCCATCTTTTTCAGATAGTATTTGCACTGGAAGGATCTAAACTAGTGAATACAATATAGTAAAAACAGAGTGTTTAGCAATGAAAATGTAGCACAATACATAGTACATCCACTGAAGCGTTTGATGTACTCTGGGTTGTAAAATACAAATCAGACCATCCCAAACCAGCCTATATAAGCCCATATATGTGTCTGTGTTTATCTTTATGAAACTCCTTTATCATCCTCATTTGACTGAGAGGCTTTATGCCCACAATGTTTGAAAGGGAAAACATGCTAATGTCCATCAGGTCTTTGGGTGTAACGTGCTTTGCTGGATGTTGGTAAAATGCCATTTTCTTTTGAGATTTTATGCAATAAATTAATGCGGCAAGGAAATTATACTTGGTTTTCCATGTATAGAAAAATAGTTTGGTTTGGATCTGTTTGATCCATCATTAAAGTTGGAAAGATTATGGTACAACTAATCTACCAAGGTTTTTTTTTTTACCTAAGCTAATAGGTCAGACAAGAAGAGGATTAATCAGAAAAGCAGTAGAGGCTTGTGGTATCTTTGAAGGCGCTGCAGAGAATAACAGCTCAGTTGGGAAGGAAAATCAACCTAGTGCTGTAGCATTGCATAATGGTGCTACACCACTATGTAGCACCATTCCAGCTATGCAACATAGTGGTGGTAGCATCATACTGTGAGGATGCTTGTGCTGTTCAGAGATCCTCTATCCAGTCTGACTTAGGCTGAAACATTTTGCAAAGAAGTCTGGGTCTCTAAATGTGCTAAGCTACAGGAGACCTGCAGCTGCAACTGTAGTAAAAAGGGTTTACAAATAATTATAAAATGCTAAAAAGCCCCGTTGTTACATCTATGGAGCTTCATGTTCACAAGTGTAACAATTAACATCTGCTGGTCCTTTCAGAGCAGTCTTGAGATTTCTGGGTCAAATAGCTCTTGGTACATATCATAAGGTACCATGGGAACTCGGTGGTGATGCAGCAAAAATAACAATATGAGACTTATTAAAGCGGTTACATAACTCACCAGCTTCCCTTCTGCCATTCCTGATGACAGCTTGACTAACTGTCCACTGAACTGTTTGGACACACATACATGTAGTGTCTCGTCACATTCATCATTCTCAGATAAAAATGCCTCTCGGTCCTCTCCGAGGGAAATTCCACACTTCATTATGTTTGCGTGCAGTCCAGCTAAAACTGAGGTCCGATAGCTGCTGTCAGAACATCTCCCTTAGAGCCAGTGATAATGTGCTTCACAAGCTGAAAATAAGACAGGAACTTTCTGCTACACTCAACATGAATTTAGATTCATTTATCCATCCGTCTATTCATACCTACCTACCTACCTACCTACCTACCTACCTACCTACCTACCTACCTACCTACCTACCTACCTACCTACCTACCTACCTACCTACCTACCTACCTACCTACCTACCTACCTACCTACCTACCTACCTACCTACCTACCTACCTACCTACCTACCTACCTACCTACCTACCTACCTACCTACCTACCTACCTACCTACCTTGCAGAGATCATCTTTGTACAGATAGGTCTGTTAAAGGCCTTCAAATGTGTATTCCTGCTTTAATAAGCAGGGCGTCTCAGCTCCTGGCTCACACGGCTGGTGTTTATTAACTAAAGAATTGTTGCTCAGGATATTTTATGAGACCGACATGCAAATAGAGCAGCCTCTGTGATTGACAAATCACTTGTAAATATGCTGTATTTATGTCGTGTGAGCTAAAACCATCCCTCCCAGATGTAATAGCTGTTATTGCAATTGTTACCACCTACAACGTTTGGGTTATTAGTTGCTGAAAAAGTCAGAGGACATTCAAATTTATGATCAAGTTGACCCACTTCCTGTAGAGACCTGATCCACCTTTGTGAAGCATAGTGTACAGTATGAACTGATGAACTGGTGTCTCCCTCTCTTTTTTTCTTTTCTCTCTCTCCCTCTCTTTCTCTCTGTGTTATCTGTTTTATTGTCCTCACTCGCTGGCCGGCCTCCACTCATGTCAGCACATACCTCATACGGATCTGACTGCCGTTTGCACTCAGTCAGGAGTCACAACTCTGTAATTAAGTCACTTATTGTTGTAGGGACTATTAGAAATTTTCTGGGGTTTGGTAGCTTCCTTGGGATTTCACACAATCTTTATCCAAGTTATAGACAGAACCCAAACGAGCATGGATAATATGCAGGTTCTTCTTTATCTCTGTATTTATTAGAACTTAGTATTATATGTAAACAATAATCATTTAAAAAAATAGCAAATTCAGAATAAGCATGCATTACCGATCATCTTTTCTATTCATCTCTCTTGAAGGGTAAATATGTCAAGTCAATAATTAAGAGTCAGTCATTTCACTTCTCATAATGATTAATCTAACAGTGAGCAGCACCGCTAACTGAAACAGGACTCTGAGTTCACCTTCAAAATGCTTTGGATAAATCTTATCTTGGGTGCTCTAAAATGAGCACAAGCTCCCATTATTACAGTTTTATTGAATTACATCCACATATCCATCCTGCACTACCCCTGACCTTTCAAATATGCGAATCTGTGAATACACGAGGACTCCTCGTGGGTTTGAGGGATTAAAGTTTATTCATCAGATGCCGCACTTAAGCCTCTGTGGGACCAGAGTGGTCTTCTCTGTACATCTACATGAGTCTATTTCATTCATAAAAGCCCACAATGTTTGATAAACGTTGATGCAGAAAATTACCAGACCTTGGGGATAAAACAAATTGTGCAAAATAAGGATAAGCTGGTTACTGATATGTAG